TACCGTTATATAGGGAGTAGGCGGGGTTGTCACTCGATTTCACCCATTTTTACACTGTCGATAGTAGTTCTAAAAATATTTGGTCTCAGTGAATTTTGTTATTATAGCTTTGATGGTTTATTAGGTGGCAGGACCACACCCACTTTTTAAAATAATTTGCAATCCGCAATACCAACCGTCATACGGTACCAAGAAACATGTGTACCAAGCTTCATAAAGATATCTCAATTTTTACTCAGGTTACAGGTTGCACACACGGACGGGTAGACAGTCACCCGGATTTCAACTCGTCACTTCATCCTGATCATTTATATATATATAACCCTATATCTAACTCGATTAGTTTTAGGTAATATAAACAACCGTTAGGTGAACAAAACTATTCTACTCTGTAGCAACATGTTGCGAGAATATAATAATGCTACAGTAGTGAAAGCAAAAACTTTGATACAACAGCAAATGATTATGATAGTGTTGACAAAAATCTAGCAACAGCATTGGTTTTTCTAGATCTTGCTAAAGCTTTTGATGCTGTTAATCATAAAATACTACTTGAGAAATTGTTGCGTAAAGGGATAAGAGGCCTGCCCCATGAATTTTTTGAAAACTATTTGTCGAATAGAGTTCAATGTGTTAAAACGAATGTTGTCTCTTAAGATGCACTAGTTTCTTTTACTGATGATACAGCTGTACTGTGTAGTGGTAATAACTGGCTAGATGTACGACAGTGTATGACTGTATGGTTAAATAAACTTGATATTTGGTTAAAAAACAATAAGCTTACACTAAATGTTGAGAGGTTAGTCATTGACTATAAAAAACTAAATAAGCAAACAATACCTTACAGGTATCCCATCCCTAATACCAACATAATTCTATCCAATTTAGGAAAGTCAAAATATTTCTCGACTGTAGATTTGGAATCAGGTTTTCACCAGGTTGATAAAACAAAATGATATTAAAAAAACAGTTTTTTTCGTCAACAATGATAAGTACGAATTTTTTTGTATTGGTCAAAAGGTATCCTACATCCACATATAGAAACAATATTAAAGGACGACATAATTGTCTTCTCCGAAAACCTTGATCAACATCTCAATGACCTAGAGCGAATCATAGCTATTCTACAAGAAGCTAACATGAAAATGATCATTCAAAAAATCAAAGTTTTTTGGAACTGAAATATAATTTCTACGCATGGTTTCTCATAAAGTCATTAAAACTAATCCGAGTAAAGTAGAAACTATCATAAAATATCCTGTTTCCAAAAATATTAAGGAACTACAAAGATATGACGCATTGAAACAATGTAAATTGAACTTAATCAACCGGATTATAATAAAAAATTCGTTCTAAACAGTGATGTTTCAGATGTAGCCATCAGAGTAATTTTAACGCAAGACTCAAAGCCAAATACGGTCGTTATTCTAAATAATATAACCGACGAGTCAATAAATGATGAAGATATTGATAATCACACCCAACATTCTTCTTAAAGTAGTAGAATACGATTAAATAGAAAATTCGCTGACAATATTAAAACAATTCCTTCAACCAAATCTATTAACAGCAACCGCACACCTCAATATCTGTATGAAGTAAAGAAACATTTAACATAAAGTTTCTTCATACTAAAATCTTTTACATAGACGTAATAAATATAGACGATCAATAAGCATTATTAAACAAACACATACCAGAGCACATCGTAGTTATAATGAAAACATGAAACATGACATGAGTAAGAAACTCAAGGAATACATGTTATAGAAACTGCGATGTTTGTAATAAAAGCAAATCCACAGACACCCTTCTGAAATATACCAACCAAGGAAGGAGAACAGTTGCAAAATTTTTATACTCTCGCAACCTGTTGCTACAGAGTATAACAGTTTTGTTCACCTAACGGTTGTTTGTATCACCTAAAACTAATCGAGTTAGATATAGGGTTATATATATATAAATGATCAGGATGAAGAGACGAGTTGAAATCCGGGTGACTGTCTGTCCGTCCGTCCGTCTGTCCCTCTGTCCGTCCGTGCAAGCTCTAACTTGAGTAAAAATTGAGATATCTTTATGAAACATGGCAGACATGTTTCTTGGTATCGTGAGACGGTTGGTATTGCAGATGGGCGTAATCGGACCACTGCCACGCCCACAAAACGCCATTAATCAAAAACAAATAAATTGCCATAACTAAGCTCCGCAATAAGATACAAGACTGTTATTTGGTACACAGGATCACATTAGGGAGGGGCATCTGCAGTTAGAATTTTTTTTTTAAAGTAGGCGTGGTCCCGCCTCTTATAGGTTTAATATGCATATATCCTAAACCGCTAATACTATAATAACAAAATTCACTGGAAGCAAATGCTTTTAGCACTTCTATTGACGGTGTGAAAATAGTTGAAATCGGGTGGCAACTCCGCCCACTCCCGATATAACGGTACTGTTAAAAACTACTAAAAGCGCGATAAATCAAGCACTAAACACGCCAGAGACATTAAATTTTATCTCTGGGATGGTATGAGATGACTTTATAGGAACCGTGTTCAAAATAGACAGTGGGCGTGGCACAGTCCACTTTTAGGTGAAAACCCATATCTCGAGATCTGCTTAACTAATTTCAACAAAATTCGGTACATACCGTTATTTTTATATTTCTATATTATAGTGCGAAAATGGGCGAAATCGGACTACAACCACGCCTATTTCCCATATAACACAATTTTAAATTCCATCTGATTCTTTCACTTTCCACTATGCATATCAACAATGATTATATCGGGGTAAAACTTTGCGTGAATAATACGTTTAAAGTATGCCACCTTGTGACCAAAAATTGTCTAAATCGAACCAAAACTGTTCAAGCCCCTAAGTATTAAATATGTGGACCCCAGTGCCTATAGTTGACCTTCTATCGAAAATATCAGTCAATCCACAAAGAAATCTCAAACGAGTATACTATTTGACTTTGCGAGAGTATAAAATGTTCGGTTACATCCGAACTTAGCCCTTCCTTACTTGTTCCTTTTAAAAACATACAAAATAAAATACATATAGACGAAACAGTATTAGAAATCTTACAAACGTTCCCCGATTAGTTTTAGGTGAACAAACTGTTATACTCTGTAGCAACATGGTGTGAAAGTATGAAAAATAATACATAAAACAAGAAAAAACCCCAACTTTGATTGCATCGAAGCTATAATACCCTTCACAAATACACAGGTTCCTTACAAGAACTTAATTCCGATCCAATTTCGTGAAGATACCTTGTCAAATAAAAAAGTTATCCATGCGAGCACTTTATTCGAATCGTTCAGTTAATATGGCATCTTTATGCCATAGTCATCCGATCTATACAATTTCTTCGGAGTCTGCTTTATTGCCTTTAATAATAATCCAGGCCAAATTTCGTGAAGATACCTCGTCAAATGAAACCGTATGGGAGCTATATGCTTTAGTAATCTGATCTGAACTATTTCTTAGGAGATTACATTGTTGCAGTAGACAATATTCTATGCCTAATTTTGAAGATACCTCGTCAAATGAAAAGTTTTCTATTTATTACTATTTAAACTTTAATTGATTTTTTAGTGATTTAATTCAATATTTAGTGATTTAACTCTGAGTAGCAAGCTAAGTATTAAATGATCTTAAGTTTTGTGCATTATTAAAAAGCTTAAATTTTCGAATTTTTGGTGCCGAGTCAGCTTTTTTTTCATTTTGTTTTATTTTATTCTATTTTCTCCCTTTATTTATCTCAGTTACTTCTTTATTCATAGCTGTGTTGCGTGTAGCTTTTTAGTTGTTCCAGTGCTTCTAAAACTCTCGCTATATTGTTTTTTCAACCTGTCTTGGTTTTGAACTTTGATAAAAAAAAAATTTGAAAAATTGCTATTATTTTTGCGTTTGTTCTTAATTGAATTTATTATTATTAATATTTTATGAACACACTAATTTATTATATATCTATTAGATTTTGTTTTACTTACTCTTTTATTTGATCTTCATTCTTGTCGTTTAGTATGTCTTGTAACTTGTAAGGACGAGTCAGATCGCCACGTTTCATGCTGGTTTTGTGATGGGTATGCCCATATTAAATATGCTGGACTGATAGGTAGAATCTTAGATTCTATTCTCGACTGTAAGGGATTGCGTTGGTCCTGTTTAAATTTTAGAACTATTAAAATCGATCTATTTAAAGTTTATAGGGAGATACGCAATGGCTTTAACGAAATCGGAATTGATCTTGTAACCCTCACCGAAAAATTGTTCAAATCTTTTAAGTGCCTGAATGATTCTCATCAATCCTCCAAACCTGTTCCTAAGCATAAACGTCCTTCCGATGAAGTAACACTTAGTCCTTCTGTACAGAAAAGAACGTCTCCGCCCAATGACCTAATAAACCTCTCTTCTCCTTGCCCTCAAAGTGATAAGCCGTCAACTTCCAAAGAGCTCAATTCCCCAAAAGCTCTATCTAATAGTAATAAGTGTCTCACAATTCCAGAGGCTCCCCCTAATAACTTAGTAGCATCTATTAAAAATTTGGTAGTTATTCCACCTAAAAAGTCTATATTTTGTTACGTTTAAAAATTGATGATATCAATATCCGTAAATTTAACTTCAATTATGATAGAAGTATATCATCGTTTAAAATAGACGTATCTCTTGAAACATTCAAAAAGATCTTAGATAGTTCATTCTGGCCACCTGTGGTTTTTGTAAGCGAATTTAAGCCTAAACTTAAAAGTCAAACTGAGGAAAACATTGCCAAATTACCAAAAGCAACCACCGATATAAAAAACTGATTGGTAAAAATTCGCTTAGCATTTATTATCAAAATATTAGAGGTCTTAATACAAAATTAACCGACTTGTATTTAAACAGTTCCAATTTTAATTTCCATATAATTGGATTTACAGAAACATGGTTAAAACCTCACATTTTTGATAATGAGATTTTAAATAGCGAATTTCAAATATTTAGATGTGATCGACTGAACAGAATCGGTGGAGGTGTTCTATTTGCCGTACATTCCTCTATCCCAGTGTTTTTCAATCTGTGGGTCGCGACCCCTAAGGGGGTCGCAAAGCCTTACTCGGGGGGTCGCCAGCTGAAAGAAAAAGTCGAGGTTCTTACACAACAAAAACACAATTTTAATGAGAAAGATATGCTTGTTTATTTTTCATTAATTTATCAAATTGTGGTGTTATTTTTGAAACATTAATAATTTAATCATTTTCTAATTGCAGTCTATTTCTCTTTTTAGTTTAAATGTCTACCATTGAAGAAAATGTCAGTATGAAGTGGCGAATGGCACTAATAATTTAAGAGCTTCCCTTGCCAGCTCTGGATATTCGTGTTTTCTTTTCATCCAAAATACGTCGACAATTTGCAAATAAAATTCCATTTTAAGCATGCCATCAGTAGCTAATTCTAGAAGACATTCTTTCATTTTTGTGTTGACATCAGCCAGATTTATTGATTTGTCCAAAAAAGGGCTTAAAATCCATCTACACCCATTGTCAGCTTCAGAGTGCAAGTCTGGAAAGTATGTCAAAAGTTTATCTTGTAAATTATGCAAGCTTTGTATCATGCAAGGAATATGAGCCGATACTGCAAAACTTTGGTCTGATGCATTATCTTCAACAATCTTCTGAGCACACGGAAAAGACACAAACATTTTGTTTTGCAGAGAGGTCGACCACAAACGAAGTTTTGCGTGAAATGCTTCTACTTTATCTTTAGCTGTTAAAATCTTTTCTTCTCTTCCTTGAAGGTTCTTGTTCAAATTGTTTAGGTGGCTAAAAAGATCTGCCAAAAATGCTAATTTCAAGAGTCAAATAGGGTCAGAAAAACGGTAAGCATATTCTGATTTTGCATCTTGTAAGAACATTAACAATTCAGCTCTCAGTTCCAGAACTCTTGTCAATACCTTTCCTTTTGATAGCCACCTGATCTCTGTGTGATAAAGGAGATTTTGATGAAGCGAGCCCATATCTTCACAAAAGATTCTGAATAGCCGGGTTTGCAAAGCTTTACCTTTGATAGAATTTACAATTTTTATTACCTCCTTGAGCACGTCATTTAAATCAGAAGGTATTACCTTAGCAGCAAGAGCCTGTCGATGAAGAAAACAGTGTGTCCAGGATATTTTTGGTATTATCGATTTTAATTTTGCAATGAGTCCGCTATTTTTGCCAGTCATAGCTTTAGCGCCATCGCTACAAATAGCGATACATTTTTTCCAATCAATATCGTAGTCGCAAGTGCTTTCTAAAAACATATCGTACAAACACTGGCCAGCAGTGTTTGCAGGAAGTGCTTTGCAAAATAAGATTTCTTTCGTAATACCGTCATCTGCTTCAAAGCGCACAAATACTACAAACTGTGCACAGTCGGAAACATCTGTAGATCCATCGAACTGCAAGGCAAAATGTTGGCTATTCTTTAATTTTTCGACTACTTGTTCTTGAATATCCTTGGCCATATCGTTCTTCTGCGTGAAATAGTATTGTCAGAAAGTGGTATTTTTTTTAATTTGTTTGCCTCCTGCTTACTGACCATAATTTCAACCATATCGAGTGCCGCTAGCAAAATAAGATTTTCGGCAATTGTATGTGGTTTCCCTGCTTTAGCAACTCGATATGCGACTTTGTAGCTAGCTAATAACGTTGACTCGTTGACACTGGATGCCTGAAAATAAACCAAACAATATACAAGTGAACAGTCAATAAAAATTAAGGACGCGGAACCTTTGCACACCGAAATTAAGTATAATCATAAGTTGTATACAAATAACAAAGAAATAAACTCCAACAGTAAAAATATAGTATAAAACAAGTAAGGAAGGGCTAAGTTCGGATGTAACCAAACATTTTATACTCTCGCAAAGTCAAATGGTATACTCGTTTGAGATTTCTTTGTCGATTGGCTGATATTTTCGGTAGAAGGTCAACTATAGGCACTGGGGACCACATATTTAGTACTTAGGGGCTTGAACAGTTTTGGTTCAATTTAGACAATTTTTGGTCACAAGGTGGCATACTTTAAACGTATTATTCAGGCACAGTTTTACCCAGATATAATCATTGTTGCTTGATAGGCATAGTCGAAAGTGAAAGAATCAGATGGAATTGAAAATGGTGTTATATGGGAAATAGGCGTACTGGTAGTCTGATTTCGCCCATTTTCGCACTATAACATAGAAATATGAAAAGAACGTCATGCACCGAATTTGGTTTAAATCGGTTAAGCACATCCCAAGATAAGGTTTTCACCTAAAAGTGGGCTGTGCCACGCCCACTGTCTAATTTTGAACGCGGTTCCTATAAAGTCATCTCATACCATCCCAGAGATAAAATTTAATGTCTCTGGCGTGTTTAGTGCTTGATTTATCACGCTTTTAGTAGTTTTTAACAGTACCGTTATAAGGGGAGTGGGCGGAGTTGTCACCCGATTTCAACTACTTTCACACCGTCAATAGAAGTGCTAAAAACATTTGCTTCCAGTGAATTTTGTTATAATAGCGTTAGCGGTTTAGGATATATGCACATTAAACCTATTAGAGGCGGGACCACGCCTACTTTAAAAAAAAAATTCTAACTGCAGATGCCCCTCCCTAATGTGATCCTGTGTACCAAATAACAGTCTTGTATCTTATTGCGGAGCTTAGTTATGGCAATTTATTTGTTTTTGATTAATGGCGTTTTGTGGGCGTGGCAGTGGTCCGATTACGCCCATCTGCAATACCAACCGTCTCATGGTACCAAGAAACATGTCTACCAAGTTTCATAAAGATATCTCAATTTTTACCCAAGTTACAGCTTGTACGGACGGACAGACGGACGGACGGACAGACAGTCACACGGATTTCAACTCGTCTCTTCATCCTGATCATTTATATATATAACCCTATATCTAACTCGATTAGTTTTAGGTGATACAAACAACCGTTAGGTGAACAAAACTATTATACTCTGTAGCAACATGTTGCGAGAGTATAAAAATAGTATTATTGTGAAAAAAGGGTGGGGCGCTTTTTAAGAGCTGATTTATAGTGCACCCCACGCTTTTTTCATTATTTTCTTACTTACCTGAATTATAGTATTTTGCTGCTGACTAAGAGCTTTCAACTTTCGTTCAAAGAAATCCAACGGCTTATCAGCTTCTTTTTGATACTTGGTTGTGAGATGCCGCATACGCTTTGACGGTTTCATACTCTTACGTGATAAAACATCGCCGGAAATTACACATTGATGTTTATTATTTACGACTGTGAACCCGTATTTCAAATAACTGTCATCATAATGTCTACTTTTTTTTCGGATTCGATTCACCACCACCGCAATTGATACTCGTACCAGATGTTGAAGGCTGCGATCTTTTGAGAAATTTATCCATTTTATATTTTTATGAACTCATGGGCGACTACGCTTAACTGAGTGATGAGAGTTGAAACAAAAGAACATTGCGGGCGCGCGCGCGGGACGCTTGCTGTTACAGCAACGACAATCATGTCGTGCGGTGTGGCAACGTCGCCGTCGCCGATGCAGTATGACCCGCGCGAATAATAGATAAATTGGCCAAAATAGGAAAAAATTATTACCTAACGTATGTAGTCTTTTAATTAAAATTAAATTATTTCTTTGACTTACTATGACACAAGGGGGTCGCCAGAATATTTCAACCTGTAAAGGGATCGCGAAATCAAAAAGATTGAAAAACACTGCTCTATCCCATCTGAAGATGTTCTTGTTCCAGGAACAGACTCATTTGAATTTAAATGAATTAGAGTCTATGTTAATAGTTGCTTTATTTATTTAACCCTATCTTATATACCACCCCATTCGGACTTATCTGTATACATGCCACATGCTTCTTTAATAAATAGTGCTACTTCGAGGGCAAATAATGCAGATTCAATAATCGAATTAGGAGATTTCAATTTAACGTGTGCCTCCGTCGGTACTGTTTTAAAGAGTTTTTCGAAAAAATGTCCGAGTTGGGTCTGAACCAAGTTCATTTGATTCCGAATAAATGGTAAATGCTTAGATTTAGAATACGTTGATACCTCTTCAAAGTGTTCCGTTATTCAGAGTAATCCTCTTGTTCTATCAGAGGACTCGTATCATCCTGCTTTGGAAATATCTGTCGAAATCATAGGCAATGTACGGGATAATAATCATCAAACTTCGTGCTTCTGTACTCAGTTTAACTTTGCAAAAGCTAATTTTAAAAAGTTAAATACAGAACTTTGTACAATAACATGGCATAATTATAATGGTTATATTAAATTGAGTGTCTCTCATTTTAATAACATTATTACGAAATTATTTGAAAAGTATGTTCCAATAGTATTTGTTAATAAAAGTTAAAGTATAAGTCCGTGGTTTTCGAACGAGTTATATAAATTGAAAAACTCGAGCTTTTTAAAACCGGTTCACTTGTCGATTATTCTAAATATCCCGTATTGCGTCGACAATATTTTGATCTAAAGAAAAAATGTTATAATAATTACTTAAATAAAGTAAAAAAAAAGAGTAGTGTAATTAATCCAAAATCGTTTTATAATTTCGTTAACTCCAAACGCAGGATTTCCAAATCTCCGTCCGCGATGAAATACAAATCTATCATATCAAGTGACAGGGATATTATATCCAATATGTGTGCAGAATTTTTCAAGTCAAACTATTTATTCTTCAAAACTTTTTCTTATCAGCACGTACTGTGTACTTTAATTAACGCTCCAATTATTTCTGAAGAAAAGGTCCTACTTAATTTAAATAAGTTAAAACCATCTTTTAGTTACAGCCCCAGACATGATACTTTCATTCTTCCTAAAAAATAGTGCCAAATATATTTACTTGCCTTTGACAAGGATATTTAATTCCTCTCTTAAACATAGTATATTTCCTTCAATATGGAAACAGTCATTTATAATTCCCTTGCATAAAAGTGAATTTAGATCCAACATTGAAAACTATAGAGATATTGCAAAACTATCAGTTATACCTAAACTTTTTGAAGCACATCACTGACTAAATAACTTTTTCGATTTCTCCGTTAATTTCCTCACCTCAGCATGGATTTCGTAAAGGGAATTCGACTCTAACAAACTTGCTTGAATTTGTAAACCATGTATCATTGGGTTTTATGGCACATAAGCGTACGGATGTTATATACACAGACTTTACCAAAGCTTTCGATAAAGTAAATATCTCGATTCTCATACATAAACTTGATCTGCTGGGCTTTCAGACAAGATTCCTTCAATGGGTATCTTGTTATCTTTATAATAGAACACAACGAGTGATATTTGAGGATACTCCTTCCGTACAATTAATGTTTCTTCAGGTGTTCCGCAAGGTAGTCATCTTGGCCCGATTCTGTTCTTGTTGTTTATTAACAATATCTCTTCAGTAATAGAATTCTCAAAAATTTTATTATACGCTGACGACGTAAAGCTTTTTAAATCATACACTTCAACTAAGGAAAGGTGTCTGTTGCAAACAGACTTAAATAATTTGGTTGCAGGGTGTGATAGAAAGATTTGCCATTGAATCTCAATAAATGTAAGACGATGTGCTTTTCCCGTAGATCTGTGCACCCCTCTTCTTATGTAATAAAACTCCATATTCTGAAACAAGTTTTTAACTATGTTGATTTGGGAGTTAATATGGATCCTAAGCTTAATTTTAGTCTTCATATTGATACCATGGTCTTGAAAGCAAAAGCTGTCCTCAGTTTTGTTAAACGTTGGTCTAAAGAATTTAGAGATCCGTATATTACTAAAACACTTTATACAACTTTGGTTAGACCTATATTGGAATATGACTCTGTGGTATGGAACCCTAGCTACCAAATCCACTCTGACAAGTTATAGTCTGTTCAAAAATAAATTTTACTTTTCGCTTTTTTTACCTTAGCGCATTTCCGATGGGATTCTAAGGTAAGTCTACCTCCATGCACTAGTCGTTTAAAACTTATTAATCTACCTACATTTTCTAGTCGTAGGTAAATGCTTGGCATAATATTCTTAGTAAAAATCTTGAATGGAACAGTTTGAAGTTCTTTTCTGCTGTCTGAAATTAAATTTAATATCCCGGTCCGCTTTTCGTGGCAGTTCAGACCTTTACTGTTAAAATCCTGTAAATCAAATTTTGAACAAAACGAACCATTCCGCCGTATATGTCATGATTTTAATTCTCATTCCAGCACATTTGACTTATCTGACTTACTTTTCAAAATTAAAAAACCAACTGTATATATAATTTTTATATTATTGTTGTAATATATTTGTGGACTTTTTTATAAATGTATTGGATACAGTAGAAATAGATTGCAATCTATTCGCAATTAATAAATTCTTTACACGATTCATTCTCTTTTTGTGCCTTTTTAATAGAAATCGATAATTTTTGCTATCTAATTCGTCAATGAGAGTATTACTTAATAAGAAATATTTCGCACATTTATATGTATAAAAATGCGAATTTTCAAATGCGCAGTTTTTAACAGTTTCATCCAATGGCATTAGCCAGCTGTGCAAACTGCGCAGTGTTGCCAGTATTTACTGCATTACCGAAAAACATACTGCATAAATCATTTTCATTAGTCCAGAATAAAATTGGTATTTCATTGGTTCATGTTTTCCTCATATAAGTTAATAAAATTAAAGATTTAATTTTGTTTGGAACTTCCTTTATTCACATCTCAATTGTGACTAACAATAGTATCTTAACAATACACAAAACTAGCTGTGGGTCAACGGCAAAACTTGCAGTTCATGCGTTATTAATATCGATCGATTCTGAGAGCTGCAGTGGATGTTTGTTTATATTCAATGATCAGCAGAACTATTATTTCATATATTTTCCTTTCTTAATAGCGATCGATTCCGAGAGTTGGAGTGGAAGATCAAATTTCTTTATGTTATTGAACTTTAATAATGTTGCAATGAACATTACTACATTTTTGCAATTTTGATACGGTGTTGCAATGAATTCTGCTATGTTGAAATAAATATTTTCTGTCTCAACTCATCTTCAGGAAATTCCTATCTGTCCTCAAGTAGGCATTGATAATATGATATGTTGTTAAATTGTGGTTGAATGGATTTTAAAACATTGTTTATTTCATTCATGATTTGTGTCGGATCTTTTTCAATTTGTAGGATTTTATTTAGAATTTTTGAATTACAACTATTGCTATAACAATGGCGGATAGCTATGCGGTTCGAGGAATCTGTGTTTACTTGGTCTAATAGTTTTCTATTTTTTATACGAATCGTGCTACAAAAACAAACCGTAATAACTTTTTTTCTGTGTGAATAATCGACTTACTTTTTTTTATTTCACAGGTTATAATTTAAATTTTTTAAAAATGAATGAAAAGGGGTTTTCGATAGTGCAGCGATACTTTGCTTTGCAGTCCATCATTTCCGTCAAAAAGAAATTCAGACGGGATTTTGGCGGCACTCTCCATGGACCATTATGAGGTTGGTAAACATATTTGCCGAATCTAAAGGTATCGCAAGTAGACCGTACCATCGAGATCCGTATGTTCGTGTTCAAGAAACAATTCAGGCAAATCCAAAAGTTTCGACTCGCAACTTATCGGCGCAACTTGGAGTTAGCAGACGGTCATTACAACGGATAATTCATGATGTCTTAAACCTGTTTCCGTTCAAATAACAAGCCGGTTAAACCCTCTAAATTTGCCTATTCGCCTGAAATTTTGCCAAAGAATCATTGAAATGGGCGAAAAAGACAATAAATTGATAAATTGCCTGTTTTTGTCTGATGAGGTCCCTTTTGAAACGGAAATGCAAACAAGCAAAATTGCCGTATATGGAGTGAATCAAATCCAGAATAATGTTAATCCAAGAGACGGAACTTCACCCAGAACGAGTCACTGTGTGGTGCGCATTTTCATCAAGTTGTATTGTCGGGCCATAACTCTTTTAAGAAAACGGTGTAACAGTAACTGTGAATGGGCACCGTTAATTAAAGATGTTGAATGAGTTTTTTACCCAGAACTGCGCCGAAGACATAATTCCTTTCAATAACGTTTAGTACCAGCTGCACACATAGCCAGACAAACAAATTAATATCAAGACATTGTACTTTCCGCTGGCCCCCAAAGTCACCTGACCTGACTGCACCAGGCTTGTTTTTATGAGGTTATGTCAAGCAAGAGGTGTACAAAACAAACCCCAAAAATCTGACTGAATTGAAGCAATGCATTAAATCG